AAGGAAAATGTTGGTTAAATCTAGGTTCTGCCATAAGATATGCAAATTAATTTTTTTAATCCCAAACCAGAAATACTTCTGGGCCCAAGCATATCATGCCTCTAGCACAGGACTGTTTTATGCAGGTCTCATAGTCAAGCCTGCTTAAAATTAGCATGAGAAAAAACAACTATCTTTAGATTATACTTGTTAATCTTTAACACAAATGTAATATTTGAGGAAGTTGTTACTAAGTACATGAATAATAAAGGTGTGAAAAGCACATAATAAAAGCTTTCCTCAAGCAGGGCTACCTACACCACTACATAAGAATCTAATTCACCACATTAAAATCTTATCATTTTAAACTTTGAGCGCTTGTTTGGTGGTTCTAGCAGAGGAGCACAGCTACTCAGATACCTTTAACCGAAGACCAGCCTTCTTCGATTGAGGACAGCCGTCTTCTTCAATTTAACATGAAACTTTGGAAGAAAGGGGTCACCCACCTGGCCAGCCAGATTAGCCAAATCCACCCTGGTGATCAAATGAGTTTAACAAATGTTGTAGCCAGATCACCCTCATATCTATCATTTTAAACTTTGCGCTGAAGTCAGTAAAGGCTTAAAAAAAAAAAGTCTGGTGTTCTTGTACCTGAAGCAAAGTATCCCATTTCTATTGCAAGTTGTACAAGAGTTAGATATAACTACAAATTTTTTTGAACTTGTGATCACGATCTATCCACAAAGCTATCTTAAACTTTGATGATTCAAGAAAGTAAGCCGTATTTACTAAAAAAAAGTACTGCACAGCCACAGATAAGCTAATATTCTAGATACCTGAAACACCATATATGGGTTGTGTGGTATCAGTGCTGGGGACTGAACTCAGAGCCTGGACACCTTCCTGAGCTTTTATTGCTCAAGGCACTCTATCTACCACTTAAGCAACAGTTCCACTTCTGGCTTTTTTGGTTTTTAACTGGAGTTAAGATTCTCAGACTTTACTGCCCTGGCTGGTTTTGAATGGTGATCCTCAGATCCCAGCCTCCCAAGCTGCTAGGAATATAGGCATGAGCCACCAGCACCCAGCTCATATGTGTGTATTTTATAAACACTGATTTCAAATATACAGTCTAGTGTGAGTCATGGGAGCAGGGAATAGATATAGATATAAAATCACAGAATCTATTGACAATAAAAAAAATCATCAAACATACCAGAAGAAAAACTTAAATTGTATCCTTCAAAAATAATACATAAAATCCTAAAATTAGAAGTTTTCCTGGTCTGTCAACTTTCTAAAAACAAGGATCCATCTTTTAAGAATGAAGAGCTACATCTGAGCACAATGGTACGAGTTTGTAATCCAATCTATGGGGGAAGCTGAGGCAAGAGGATGGAGAATTTAAGGTTAGTCTGGGCAACATAGCAAGGCACCATCTAAACAAACAAGCAATATATATTTAAATATAAACATATAATATATATATATATATATGTATGTATAAATAGAATCCTTATCCAAAAGGTTACAATGTTAACATAATCAGGCACTTCCTTCCTTTCTCATTCTATTCCCAAATCCTTCAGCTCACAATTCAAAGACTAACCAACAATGATAATCTAAGCTAAGTCACTATAATAAATTTAGTACAGCCATTCAGGAAAACTTCTGAAGTATGAGGGTGAACTATAATAAAGACCGGCTTGAGTTGGTTCCTTCAGACATAGTAACTGACTCCTTATTTATGCACTTACTTACACTATTGTGATAAAGTTCAATTAACTCACTGGTATATAAAAACTAAAAAGGCAGAATTACACAGGAGAATCACAGTCTGGTCTTACACTATACTCATTATAAATAAAGAAACTTCTAAGCCAAAATATGTAATCAGATATTAGAAACAAACTTTCCTTAAACTTAGGACTTAAATTTTGAAACTGAGAAGACATTTACCACACTGTATCACAAAATCTACACTTCACAAGTGTTAATTTCAGATGTCTAACTTATTGGATTTTACTCACACAGCATATAGATTTATAAAATATCATTACTGGTAATTCATATATCATCTAGTTTAAGAAATAGTATCATATACCAATTCCCAAAATAATACAATTCCATCAAGTATAGATCTGTAAACTTTTTCATTTCAGATATGAGTTAATATGTTTTTCCACATTCTGACCTGTCCTCACTTATAATCAAGTATTAAAAAATCTGACTCCTATGAAATTGAGAGAAGCATGTTTTCTTCTATTAAAAAGGTTAAATTTAAAAAATCACTTCTTAATGATTAATAAGCACTAAGATTTTTCATTCCACTGCATTTAAAAACTGTTCTTCTTGAAGTTTCAGTTTAAATTCCTCTCTGATTCTTTCTAGTAACTCTGGTTTAAAAATGATGTCCAGCGCAGTCATTGCCAGAGCTTTGGCCACACGCAAAGTGTAGAACTGAGCATCTTGCGATCCTAAAAGAGAAAATAAATTAGAATATCTCCATATGTACTAAGAATTTATTAATTCCTCAGTTTACCCCTTAATGAACTGCCTCTCCACTGCCCACCATAACCAAGTATTTTCTAGGTGATGTTAATGAAATGACAGTTGAACTAGTTAGAAAAGTAGCTAATTAATAGGGAGAGAGGGAATGTGAAGGGCAGACATCTAACAACATATACCTGCAGCTTCAGTGTATTGTTCAGTATGATTCAAAGCACTGGATCCAATGTAAAAATATGGATGAATTCCAGGAACCACAAAGGAAACATTTCCAAAGTCAGTAGATCCTTGAACACAAAGAAAAGCACACTTGGTTAAATACTTTTGAGTGATGAAATCAACCATAATTCTACACTTAGTTACAGTTCTATGTCGTCAGAGCAAACATAAAGAGTTCTTGGCCAGTCATCTTCTGTGCCATCAGAGCAAACATAAAGAGTTCTTGGCCAGTCATCCACATCCTCAGGCCCTCACTGACTCTCCTACCCCTCCAGTGTCCACACAGTGCTGACAAAGGTCTCCCCGGACCTGCCCTTGCTCACAGCTACTCCTACTGGTCCTCCTATAGCACTGCACTGTCACCCTCCCTTCTGTAAATTCTGATGGCCCCTTCCCTTCCTGTCTGTCTTGGAGGTATAGACTCCCTGATCTGACCTGACCACAAAATACTAGTTATTTGAGATTCAATTCCAGGCCCTTCTTCTCATGTCATAGTCCTTCTCAAGATTTTGGCCATTTGTATTATTTCAAATATCCACCAACTCAAAATTTATGCTTACTGTCATCTAAGCTTCATGTTTATACATCCAATTGCCAACCTGATTCTTGTTGTCTTCATGGTGGGTCAAATTGAACATGTCAAAGTTCCTGTTCTGCACTACTCTATAACAATACCTCTCAAAGGGGGAGGGGGGAGGCTGGGAAGGGATGGGAAGGGTAAACAAAGGAGGAGGCTGCAATGCTTGGTAAGAAATGTACGCATTATCCTGCCCATGCAATTGTAACCCCTCTGTACAGTTTGTTCACAAATAAAATAAAATAAAATTTAAAAAAAAAAACAATACCTCTCAAATATCTCAGAATCCTAACATTTCTCAGCACCATCACCAGTATCTGTCCCAGGTCTACACTGTCAGTTCTTCCTGCCTGAACTCCTTCAATGATCTCTTAAAGGATTAAGCAACATCTATTGTATTTGCCAAAATATTCCATCTTACCATGATCAGATATCAATCACTCTTTTAACCTAACCTTACACTATACTACCAGACTTCCTCTTTACCCCACTTGATCTGCACATTCAATATCCATGCACTCTACCACTTAAGGGCTCTTCAGCTCAAGGTGAGTGCTTTACCACTTGAGTCACAGTGCCACTTCCAGCTTTCTGGTTAATTGTAGATAAGAGTCTCACAGGGGCTGGGAAGGTGGCTCAGTGGTAGAGCGCTTGCCTTGCATGCCTGAGGCCCTGGGTTCGATTCCTCAACACCACATAAGCAAAAAGAAAAAAGGTGGAAGTGGCGCTGTGGCTCAAGTGGTAGAACAATAGCCTTGAGCTGAAGAACTGAGGGACAGAGCCCAGGCCCAGAGTTCAGGCCCCACAGACTCCCGACCGGGCTCAGCCTCCTGAGTAGCTATGATTACAGGCATGAGCCACTGATGCCAGGCAGGAAATGGTATTTTAACTACCATTATATCTAGCTTTCACATGGCCAACAGTAACATCTGGTGAATAAAGTACAGTAAAAACAAAGCCTTGTGCTCACTCAGGACAGTTGTCGAATGTTTGGCATGTGTCAAACACTGCACCAGGCAAAGTTAGACTACACAAGAATAAGTGGTAAGGCAATGAGGATATGTAACCAACAGCAGCCAACATTTCTCTGGAATTGCCTTGGGCCAAACAAGATTCTAAATGCCTCGTACATATTTCCATTTACTTTTTTGTTCTGTTGTTTTGTTTTGTGACAGGACCTCACTATGCAGCCTAGGCTGGCCTTAAACTTGAAATACTCCTGCCTCAGCCTCCCAAGTGCTGTATGTACACCATGCCTGGTTTCTTCACTTACATTTTGAACAGTTCTCATTTTTACACAGTGGGAAACCAAAGCTTACAGATACCAAATAATGGCTCATAGCTAGCTAGTAGTCATGTGGTAAAGGCTAAGGCTCAACTCTGAAGCTCTGCAAAAATGTGCTGCTTCGGCCAGGCACCAATGACTCACGCCTATCATCCTAGCTACTCAGGAGGCTGAGATCTGAGGATCGTAGTTCAAAGCCAGCCTGGGCAGGAACGTCCGTGAGACTCTTATCTCCAATTAACCACCAGAAATCCAGAAGTGGCGCTGTGGCTCAAGTGAGAGAGGGTTAGCCTTGAGCTAAAGAGCTAAGGAACAGTGCCAGGCCCAGAGTTCAAGACCCAGAACAAAAGGACAAAAAAAAAGGACTGCTTCTGAAAATACTAAGCATTTTCCAGGATGGTTCCAGACATGAAATGTGCAGTGATGGTACAGCAGTGAACAGGATGGAGAAAAGCTGGCTACATATTTTAACATCTTACTGAGCTAGGCCCTACAGTCTGCAAATGATACCTAAGGACAATCAATTTATTTCATTGTTTTTGTCTATTATATAAACCCCAACCCTGAGCAGGTCTGACTATGTGTCTTCCCTCATACAGCTAGACTGCAGAAACATGCTAGGGTAAAATGCAGGACTATGAAGACTACCTTGACAACAAATTCATGGTCCATCTTTAGTTCTTAACTGAGCTACTAATGATGTTCAGAATAAACATACAACCTCTCTAACGTCCCTGGTAGCTCTCTTTCAGCCCTCCAGTTGTGCTTGAGCTACAACACCTCCTAGGAGGATGTCTCAGGACTGCTGTTCCTCTTTCCAGAACATTCATCTCTATCTATTTCTTTCAAGGATTGCTTTAAAACAATATTTTCTTGGGCTGGGAAGGTAGAGTGCTTGCCTTGCATGCATGAAGCCCTGTGTTCAATTCCTCAGCACCACATAAACAGAAAAAGTCAGAAGTGGTGCTGTGGCTCAAGCAGTATACCACTAATCTTGATCTGAAGAGCTGAGGGACAGCACCCAGGCCCAGAGTTCAAGCTCCATGACCGACAAATAAATAAATAAATAAATAAGTAAATTTCCCATGTTTACATCCACTGTTTTCTTTTAAGCCTGTCTTTGGAAAGAGAAGAAACTTGTCTCGCCAGTCATTGTAGTAGGTAGAAAAGTGAGATTTAGACATTTTGTCTCTCAAGGCTTTACTTATTTTCCATTAGACCAACTGAGTTTCTAATTGCTGGTCTGATGACCACTAGGTCATACTTACTTTATTCCATATTGGCAGCATCTGACATGACATATTCTCCTTCCCTTTAGGAATCTTCTACTGTCTTGGCTTCCATGACAACTAGATCCTAATTATCTGGCTTTCTCTGACTACAGTCTCCTTCAGATCCCTGCCTTTTCCATATCCTTAAATGCTGTTGATCAGTGTTTCATCTGTCTTCTCCCTCCATGTACTTGTTTTTTTTTTTTTTTTTATTGTAAAGATACTATACAGAGGGTTACAGTCCTCTATGTACTTGGACAACTAAATCAATGATAACTAATTCAATGACCTCCCATACACTGACAAATCCTTAATTTTCAAGCTACATATCTTTTGGGGTTCCAAAATCAACAGGTCTACTTAGAATTCCTTGATTTAGGGGCTGGGAGGGTAGCTCAGTGGCAGAGTACTTACCTTGCATGTATGAGGCCCTGGGTTTGATTCCTCAGCACCACATAAGCAGAAAAAAAATCGAAGTGGCGCTGTGTCTCAAGTGCTAGAGTGCTAGCCTTGAGCTGAATTGCTGAGGGACAGCGCCCAGGACCAGAGTTCAGGCCCCACAACCAACAACAACAACAAAAAAAAGAATTCCTTGATTTACTAAGCTAATACTATTTTATACCAACCCCACACAACTCTAAACTGCTTTTTCTCTTGAAGTCTTTATTCTCAGTGAATGACAATGACACCTTAGGGATGAAAAAGAACGTCAACATTTTATTTCAGCAGACAGATTTCTAACTTGAAAAATGTTATCATATTCTCATAAAAGGAAATGAAAAACCCCAAGTATAATTAAATTCTAATAGCTATTTGTTACACTGTAGAATCTAAAAATGTCCCAGAGATAACTAAGTACTTAGCAATCTGCTTATTATACGAATGAATTAAAACTCCTATTTCCTGTTTTAGTTGCTTAAAAGTTTAAATTAAGCTGGGCACCAGTGGCTCACACCTGTAATCCTAGCTACTCAGGAGGCTGAGATGTGAGACTTGCAGCTCAAAGCCCAGCTAGGGCAGGAAACTCCTTGAGACTCTTATCTCTAATAAACTACTCAAAAAAAGCTGGAAGTGGCGCTGTGCTCAAGTAGTCTTGAGCAGAAAGAGCAGTGCCCAGGCCAAGTTCAAGCCCCAGGACCAGCAAAAGAAAAAGAAAAAAAAGTTAAAATTAAACAAATTTAAATACAACTATTTATAATATAAACCTAAAGTAGATGGCTATGCCTAAAAATAAGTTTGCTAGTAAGATATATTACATTGATTTCTATAATCATAAACTTTTGGAAGCTATCATTAAAATCTCCAAAATTGTTTGACCAAAGATGGCATTTTTCTTTCTTAAATAGTTCAATATATAAGAAATGAATTTAATTACCTGAAGGGCCATTCAGCATTGCATCTTCTGAAATGAACTCTATCCCCAGCTTTTCCCCATTCTCCATATAAGCTTTCCACAGGCTTTTATTAGGGAGGACATTGTAATAATCATGTGCCCCACCTTTTATTTCTACCTAATAAAAAATTACAAAACAAATTTTGAAATAAAAACTTTAATTCACAAATTTAAAAGCAGTTAATTTTGTCTCTAGATATAAACTTTCTCAAATGTCTTACCTTACAGTTATACTTTTAATACTAAGAGTTTCTAAAACTCTCTGTTTTATGTTACATATGCACCAGACCATACAATGACACCAAGCTCCAGACTAGCCAGCAAGTGTCAAATTCAATCACCTATGTGACTGAGAGCTGTGGGAAGAACCTAGTAATTTCTACTCTGATGCTGGAGGTCTAAAACCACACTCTGAGGAACTCTGCTTGAGCTTTCAGTCTCCCAAATAAAGAAAAGATGTGTCAGAATGACACTATTGCCTGGCATGAAAAGGGACATTGAGAGAAATACTTAAATCTTCAGAGCAAAGGGATGGCAATAGTTCTCACTCATCAGTATAATCAGCTGGAGATACCGAAGCAGTGTTTGTGTATCTACTTAGCACAGATTTACAAACTTAGTTTCGTTTAAGTCAAACTGGGCATTGTATCTCCAAACTTGCCAGCAAAAGCTAATCATAAAATAGTACAGCATGAATTTCTTCTACTTTTGATACCATATAAGGTAGGGTCAATCTACCAGCAAATTAGTCACCAAAAAAACAAGAAACGATATAAAGATTTAAATCCAATAAGCCTCCTTTTAGGGAACATTGCACACTATAAAGTATTAGATAACGACAATAGTTTATGTTTGTGTTTTCTAAGTATTTACAGTTAAATACGTACAGGAATAGTCCCTGTAATGCCTATGTAAATTCACAATTTTACTAAATCTATACCTACCTTTGCTGGTAGGTACTGGCACAAGAAGGCTTGTTCTTTGCTCCTACATTTGTCCTTATCTATATCTAATCACTACAACACATCAGGAGCTTTTCTATTCTAATTTTTGCTGCCTACATCTCCCCAAGTGCTTTCATCCTTTCCTTTACATACCTGAAAGTATGATCATTCTTCAAAGCTCAATTCAGGTGTAAAGTCTTCCATAAAACCTTCCTTTTCCTTCAGACCACTGTTTCCTTCCTCAGATCCTTTCTGACACCACCCACCCTATTCTTAGTAAACACACACTGAGTATCACTGCCTTTATGAGACACTGCCACTATGTAAAGGACCTTTTCTCTGAAGAACAGAAAAAAAAAACAAACTAAGTAATAAATACACATGAAGGCCAGGCTCTAATAAACATTATCTCACTTAACCTCTCACAAGAACCCTGTGATAGGTTATATTATTACCCCTATTCTTCAAGGGAGAAAATGGAAGCCCAGAAATATTAAATAACACATCTAAAGCCTACCAAATTAGTAGAAGTACAAGGCAAAAGACAGGCCAAGACCTGTCTTTCCAACTAAATTATGTGCAAGTTTCTTGCCCTGTACAATCCTAAAACTCATCCGACTTTAGAGCACATTATAATTTAAATCAATGAACTCTATGTCTATTTTAACTTCATTTCATCAAGTCCTAAGAATTTTATTACTATGTCATCAAAACAATAAAAAATTCTGCAAATTCTGTTATACTCTCTTCCAAAGGAACTAGATAAAGCAATTCAAAAACTTCATCTACCAAAAGGGAAGAAGATAACTTGCAAAAAGCAGGGATTAATTCATCAAAATCTTTGGCTGAATTAAACAAAAAAAAGGCAGGGATTCTATGGCACAGTTGTACCCAACTTACTCTAACTGCTGTTAAGTATGAAGAGCTGTAGACTTCCCTATTGCAAGAGAGTAAAATAGCGTTAGCTATTCAACCAACTCATTTAACGTATTCAAGACATCACTGTCAAAGCAAGCTTCTGAGACAGATCCCCAGCAGCAAACATGGCATCGGCCACCATTACCAAATGGGAGATGCACGTTGGCTTCAGATCTAACAATATAAGCAGTCCCAGTCCACATATAAAACTCTGATTATAATTAACTCTGAAAAGTTCTTACTGTGCACCCTGTAGCCAAAGCCGCAGCTCTGAAGCAATCTTCTGCCTTTTTGGTCAAAACCTGAAGTTCTTTCATTGAGGGTGCACGGAAGTAATAGAGTAATTCAGAATAAGAGGGAATGATATTGGGTTTTACACCACCATTTTTTATTATACCTATAAAAAGAACCAAATTATTGAAATTAAGCTTGTGGTCATTTTTTTTTACTTAATACTCCTATAGTTTGTCAGCCAACAATGAGAAGAACCCCTGAACAATTTTTTTTTTTTTGTCAGTCCTGGGGCTTGAACTCTAGGCCAGGGCTTGACCCTCACTCAGCTCTTCAGCTCAAGGCTAGCACTCTAACACTTGAGCCACAGCACCACTTCCAGTTTTCTGGTGGTTAATTCGAGACAAGAGTCTCATGGACTTTCCTGCCCAGGCTGGCTTTGAACTGCCTCCAGAGTAGCTAGGATTACAGGCGTGAGCCACTGGTGCCCAGCTCCCCGAACATTTTAAGTCACATTTAGTTATGGGAAAATACCAAATGCATATCAAAGAACACTAAGTACTAAAAACCTCCAAAACATATTTTTTCTAACTATACAGAATAAAGATTCATCTAGTCAAAGTAATAAAATGATACATAAAATCTAATTTCATATGATCTACTTTAAAATATTGTGTTCCTTTTAAAGAACTCAAGGGGAAAATTGATAAAAGGAACAATTACAAACTGACTTTAACTTATAAAAAAAATCAGGCAAAGAATAGATATTGAACAATTTCCTAAATCATAAGGACATAAACTAAAAAAGAAATGTGTGCTCTTAAGACAACACTTTATTAGTAGGGATAGCCCTACTCACTGTGTTCTGTAACAGTAGAAGCATAGGTAGTGAATCAAGATCAGGGGTGGCCCTGGGCAAAAATGTAAGATCTGGGCTGAGAATGTGGCTTAATGGTAGAGTGCTCACCTAGCATGCATGAAGTCCAGAGTACAATTCCTCAGTACCACATAGAACGAAAAATTCAGATGTGGTACTATGGCTCAATTGGTAGAGTGCTAGCCTTGAGCAAAAAGAAGCCCAGGGACAGTGCCCAGGTCCTGAGTTCTAGCCCCAGGACTGGCCAAAAAAAATTAAAAAGATCCAAAAAACTCAACTTAAACAAAAAGTGATAAGGATGTGGCTCAAGTTGTAAATCATCTGCTACCAAACACAAAGGCCCTAAGTTAAAAACCTCGGTACTGCTTAAGAAAAAAAAAAAAGGCCAGACACTGATGGCTCATGCCTGTTGACCTAGAAGGCAAAAGTCTGAAGTTTCAAACCAGCCTGGCAGAAAAATCCTTGAGACTTCATTTCGAATTAAGAAGCAAATTGCCAGACTGCAGGTGTGGATGAAGTGGTAGAGCATTAGCTGTGAGCGAGTAAGCCAAGGGAAGCATAAGGCCTCAAGGTCAAGCTCTGATATTAGCACCAAAAAAATAAGAGAGACAATTATGTACCCAGTTTAAGCCTGTAAGCTTTCTACTTGGGAGGCAGAAATTGTAGAATCATGACTCAGCTCTAGTCTGGGCAAAAAGTAAATTCACCAATACTGGTACAGTGGCCACATGTTTATCATCTCAGCTTTAAGGCAAGCACAATGGCTAGTTACGGGGGTATAGGCTTGTCATCCCAGTGATGTGGGAAGCACAAACAGGAGGACCACGGTCCAGGCTGGCCCAGGCATAAAACAAGACTCTATCTCAAAAGTAACCAAAGGGCTGGCAGAGAGGCTCAGGTGGTAAAATGTCTCAAGTAGATCAGCCCAGATCTCAGCCCAAATCTTACATTTTTGCTGCCCCCCTACTGAGTGCCAGCCTAGCAAGTGTAAAGTCCTAGGTTCAAACCCACTACCACTCAAGAGCCAAAACCTTGTATTTCTTACTAAAATATGACACCGTTTATGCCTCTTGGCATATATACATATATTTTTAACCAGTCCTGAGTCTTGAACTCAAGGCTTGGACACTGTCCCTGAGCTTCCTTTATTCAAGGCCAACACTACCACTTGAGCCATAGTGCCACTTCTGGCTTTTTCTGTTTATGTGGTACTGAGGAATTGAACCCAGGGCTTCATGCATGCTAGGCAAGCACTACCACTAAACCAAATTCCAGCCCAATTGGTATATTATTCTGTTAAATCAATTTCTGAAAAATCTGTTTTAAAATTTTAAAATATCCATATATAGCATATATTATATTTTCAATCCTTTTTTTAAAAAAAAGTCAAATAGTTACATTGTGTTGAAATATGTCATCATGTTATGGAAAATATTAAACAGTACTACCATGAACTCTCCAGGTTGGTTTCATTTGATGCCGTAACACCGACAGATTGTTATAGGCAAGAACAGCTGCATCCAAGGCATTGACTCCTTCCCAGGGGTAAGCAGCAGCATGAGACGCTTTCCCATAATATTTCACAGTCACACTAGGAGGCAAACAATTATTGAAAACTACTTTTTCTGAAGTCTAATAATTAACTAAATATTACTCCAAACTAATTCACAGAGCTGTGGATACAGCTCAGAGGTAAAATTACCTTGCCTAACATGCACAAAGCATCACAAGAAACTTCTAAGATTTTAGGATAATTATTTTATATATATATATATATTACAGCATATATTATATATCATTCATGATATATACTTGTATATATTATATACATAAATGCATATGATACATAATCTATATATTAGCACCATTATCTTAAAACTAGAATTTCATCAAAACTGTCAATATTATAACATGGAAAAGAAATCCTACATGAAAATAGCTTTGGTACCATTTCTTCCAAGTTCAAATCTACATAACTAAAGAATAGTAAACTATTAAAGGAAAAAATGCAAGTGGCTGTTTTACATTAGCAATAGTAGTTTTCCTTAATTAGCATATTTTAAACAAATTAGTAAGAAATTATTTTCAAGGTAAACTTCAGTTGCTTTTTTTTTTTTTTGGTCAGTCGTGGGGCTTGAACTCTGGGCCTGGGTGCTGTCCTTGAGCTCTTCAGCTCAAGGCGAGTGCTCTACCACTTGAGCCACAGCACCACTTCCAGTTTTCTGGTGGTTAATTGGAGAAGCACCACTTCCAGTTTTCTGGAGGTTAATTGGAGATAAGAGAGTCTCATGGACTTTCCTGCTCAGGCTGGCTTTGAACCATGATCCTTGAATCTCAGCCTTCTGAGTAGCTAGGATTACGGGCATGAGCCACCAGAGCCTAGTTGTTTAGTTTTTTAAAAGCAAATATTAATAACCCTAAAGTGCTGGTGGCTCATGCCTGTAATCATCACTACTCAGGAGGCTGAGATCTGAGGATCACTATTCAAACCCAGGCAGGACAGTGAAGTCCCTGAGACTCTTCTCTCCAATTAACTACCGAAAAAACTGGAAGTGCAGCTGTGGCTCAAGTGATAGATCACCAGCCTTGAGCACAAAAGCTCAGAGACAGTGCTCAGGCCTTGACTGAGTTCAAGACCATCACACACAAAAAAACACAACAACAACACACACACACATATACACACACCAACTAGAACAATATATTGAGGTAAATTCTTGAGAAGAAAAATCTTCCTTCAAAACTTAATTTAGGAAAGAAAAATATAATTTAGAGCTGGATGTGGTGGTGCAAGCTGTAATCTCAGCATGAGGGAAGCTAAGGCAGGAAGATCTTAAGTTTGAGGCCAACCAGAAAAATACCTTATGCAGGTAATTACTTAGGCAATTCATCCAAATAGTATTAAAAGGATAAGCCAGACACTAAGAAGAGGACTGAGCCAAGAAAGCTAATCAAGACTAAAAAGCTTAAGTTTAACTCTTGTAGGCTGGGAAGCCTGTGGACAACTACAGTTCCCTGCCAGAGGAATTAGCAAGCATTTCTAATCCTTAATGTTTTCCAGAGCTATTCAAGTGTTATTATATTACCTCTGAAACTAAAGTTAAGTCTTCCAATTTTCACAATGCCAATTCCTAGTGATGACAATAAAGATACCAAACAGCTAAAATGCTCAACCTCTAAAATCAAAACCCTGGTGATAAATGGGACCTGAATACAATCAACTGCTGGGACAGTTCTGCTATTACTGCCAAGAGCCAGGCTATACAGCGAAAATCACTTAAGTAGCTGGGCAGTGTAGACTAGGAGCTACTAACCAGACAATGATGATGGTTAAAATTTCTCTAAGGTCCGCTCTTAAATGGCAAGCAGACTCCTCCCTCCTCGTGACCAAGTAAGTCTCCACCCAGTACCTGCGTTCCTAGGCCACTGGCACACGTGAAGGTCACATCCGCAACCACTGAGGTCACATCTAGATCTGATGTGGCCACACATTTCTTCCACCTCCCACCTCCCTTTACCTGGCCACACCTACCATAGATAAGGCATGGCCTGGTGCCAGACTGCCCCTTTTCCAGCTTCGTGGAGCGCTGGCCTAGTGCCAGCTAGTGCGTTGAATAAACCTATCCCTTACCTGCATACCACTTGTGTGGTGGTGTTCTTACAGAGCAACCTCTTTAAATACCTAACAATTTCCAGTGTGAAAATTCAAGCCACTTCAATGATACAAGCTTACAGGTACCAAAAAAGTGAGCTTTCGGCAACAGGCAAATCTGAGAAGTATAGGTTGACAAATTTCAATAAATATGCAGCTGCTCAGGTTCTATATTCTCTTTTTAGGGCATCATCTAGACTCTCTGCAAAGAACCAAACTAAAATAAATGAAACAGAGAAGTATACTGTCTTCCCAAAACGAATAAAACTGTTCTCTACTAATATCAATTACAAAGAGACCTCCTCATCAAAAGATAGATGGGGGGGGTATAGTTGTAGAGATGGGAGGGAAGGGATGATAGGGGAAAAACAAAGGAGGAGGCAACAATGCTTGATAAGAAATGTACTCATACCTTGCTCATGTAATTGCAACCCCTCTGTACAGTATTTTCACGATAAAAAAAAAACGTATTTTAAAAAAAAGGTGTTTTCCAGAAACTCTCAGAGTTCAAACATCACATGAGCCCAGTGGGCTGGTGGCTCACACCCGTAATCCTAGCTACTCAAGAGGCTGAAATATGAGGATTACAATAAAAAGGCAGCCTGGATAGGAAAGTCCATCAGACTCTGATATCCAATTAACCATCAAAAAGATGGAAGCAGAGCTGTGTTCAAGTGGTAGAGCACTAACCCTGAGGAGGAAAAAAAAAGCTTAGGGACAGAACCCAGGTGCTAAACGAGCACATGCATAAACACACACATACCATATAGAACATGAATGTTAACATGCTGTTTGTCATTCCTATGCTTTTTAAACACTCTTTTAATAGTTCAATTATAAACACCCAATTAGAAGGGGCTTGGCCCAACGCCATTCCACATAAATAAAGATATTATATAATTATCTTTCAGTTTAATTTTTGCTTTAGTTGGTAAGGGGAAAGGGTCTCAGGTGGCTAAGACTACTCTGAACTCATGGACCAAGTGATGTTCCTACCTCAGCCTCCCAAGTAGCTTGAACTATGATGGGATGGGGAGGGGGTGATGCCATTGCACTATTCCTCCTGAATGATGGGATTATAGGCAAACACCAACACACTCGGCTCAGTTTAGTTCTTAAATGTATAAATGTGGAGTATTAGTCCCTGGCTTAGATATCAAAATTATCTACATCTGTTTTCCTTGATTTCAAGTCTTCCAACAGAATTACTTACTCATGTTCAGCCACATCCAGTAGATAAGCAGCATCCTCTTGGGATGGATGGGCCATAAAGACAACATCAAGGTCTTTAAAAGCTCCTGCTTCAATTAAATCAATTTTGCCACCACCATCTTCTTCTGCAGGGGTACCCAGGACAATTATCTACAAGGAAATATCTATGTCAGAGCCAAAGAACAATAACAAGTCCTAGTAGGAAAAATGTTAAACAGGTTCTCTTACATATGCATTCACAATCTACATTTAAGTCTTGAACTATGGACAGAGGTTTTATTCATGGAAATTTTTTTTTGGGGGGGGGTCCAATCGTGGGGCCTGAACTCTGGGCCTGGGCGCTGTCCCTCAGCTCTTCAGCTCAAGGCTAGTGCTCTACCACTTGAGCCACAGCGCCA